CCCTGTATTTTCAGGAGATTGTAGCCACGGCAAGAACATTGATGGCAAGGACATTGATGGCAAGGGAGCTGGGAGCAACATGGCCAAGCAGGCTGAGCTACATGCTACACATACAGACGTGTGGACACATATGTACATACCAGGCCACCTATGGCCAGGAAAGGGGTATCCTGTACTATGTGGCCATGAAATATGACATAAGGCCAAGGTCTTGGCAAAAAGAGTTTGCAGGATCCAGGAGGGAGCAGGGGAATCAGGCAGATTTGGCCTAGAAAGTACAGATGAAATGGAGACTTTAGGGGGTGCCCTGTTCAAGCCCAATGTTAGAAGAAGCAAGATACATAGGTCATTTTATTTGACAAATAAATACAAATAAAATACCTGGTCCACAATATGGGCTAGGCCCTGAAGATGGCACCATGTAATCTTGGAAACACATAACTAATTAGTCCCCCATGCACAGTATGGAATGACAAAAGTCACAAGACCCTAGGATCTTGAAGTTCTTAAGACATCTGCAGTTGCTAATTCTGCTTCATCCTCTTGAGGTAAAGAGCAGCTTCCACTCTTCCTGAAACCATGGTAGTTGAAAGGCCACGTGGCTGCATTCAGGAAACCCTGGGCCTTCTCCCTCCGTTTCTAACTGGACCATATCCTAGGAATCTTCCCAGGCAAACTCATCAACTTTGGATCTCAGAGGATGCGCCTTCTTTAAATGTGAGCAGACTGACAAGATCCACTTCTAGGATCTCATCAGTCCACACAAATTTAAAGGAGCATCCTCTGCAGGCATCTGTTCCCCCCATCCCCTCCTTGCCTCAGGGACACAGCCATCCAGTCTTCTGCCCTCATTCTTCATAATCCAGGGCCTCTTAAGGGACAGGCCCCACAGTCAATTAACACAGGCCCAGGGCTGGAAGAGACCTTCAGGGTTAGGACGAGAGCACTGGATGCTTATACCTCCTGTCTGCTGATTGGCTAAGCATACATCTTCTGGCACACGGATTCCCTGGAGCTCATTTGGAGAGCAGAGGTGGAAAGATGTCATTGTAACGGGTTCGGTGGGACTTTTGCTCTTAAGGGTTTGGTCAGCAGCTGTCCCATCAGACCAGACTCTGGCACAGCTCCCAGGCTGAGGGTGCTGGCAGACAAACATTTTGTTTTTGTTTTTATTTTCAAGTGAGTGCATCACATACACAGACAAAGGGCTAGACTTTACTTGTGTCTCTCCACCTTAGTGATAACTTGGTGATAACTTGCAGGAGCTGTGCTACTGAGCCCTGCACATCTTCCCTCTCTATGGGACTCAGGAATCCTGTCCCCTCCCAAATCCTGCTCCTATAGACCTTTCCCCATGTCCTCATCCACTCCAAAACTTATAAATGAGGTCCAGAGGAAAAGCCAGGAATGGGCAGCAGGGGTGACGCCTTGAGGGTACTGGACACTGCCCTGTCTCACCAAGGCCTGGAATGTTCTGAGCTATTTTTACAGGCTGGGTTAAAGAGGTCTTCATGAAGAAGAAGAAAATGAGTAAACGCTCATTGCTGAATGAGCCTCTTGTTCCGGGGTAGCTGGCGGCTGGCAGAGGTGAGGCCTCAACGCTCCCGTCTCCAGGCAGGTGAGTGTTGCAGAGGGGAAGGCTCCGGTGTGAGGGGGGAGCACAGGGGGAACAGAAAAACAAACCAGGGCTGGCCTTGCTGGAAAACGAGGCACTGCCTCTCAGCTGGACCACTCTCCCTAATCCAGCTCCCTGCTGGTAACCCCTCATGTGGGTCTCCAACCAGGTCCCAAGGACTATAAAGTCAGTAATCATCCCACCCTGCCCTCCCTAAAACCCCAAGGGTTCCCAGAGCATTGCTGAGCCCCAGGCAACACTCAGGTGAGTTGTATCTTATTTCAGACACGTAGGCAAAGGTAATAATAATGCAGAAAGGGTCTTACTGTCGTATCTTCAAATCAACTGAAGGGAAAAACCCAAGCTAAAAAAATACCCTGTAGCTGTCATGACTCCCATGCTCTCAGCTTTGTCCTCTGGTGTATTTTGAATTGTCTTGGAGTGTCCTTGTATACATGAAGTGAATGGCTTCTGTTACTGTTGTCTTTCTTGATTTGGGTACAGCTTTGAGTCCCTGCAAATAATAAAATATTTTTCCGTCTCTTCTTTTTCACAAAATAAATAAATTAAGTCAACCTGCAGTGTACAAATTGTTAATGTCCTGAGAAGTCCCAAAGGTCCATTCTCCGCACAGTCCTCAGGATTCAAGGGTAGAGGCCTTAGCCCCAAAGGCGTAGGAAGGAAGGAAGAAAGGAAGGAAGGAAGTCTGCTATCCACACTAGGAGAGCCCCAGGACCCAGGAAGGGTGCTGGACAGAGGTGTCTGCCCCTCACCACCCCCAAGTAAGGGATAGTGGAGGGAGCAGGGCAGGGGCTGGGGAAGAATGGCCAGCACTTCTGGGCCTGCCAGAACCATCCTGGCACCACTCTGCCCCAGGATCAAGTTTTCAGAGCTAGAGTACCTTTGGACCCCAAATTAAAGCCAGTTCCCTGCACAGTTTATGCTTGGACTATAAAACCTAGAGATTTCCTTGACTGGCTGAATCCACGGTGATGGAGACCCAGGGCACTGATTATAACGGATCTCACAAGATGGCCACTGTCCTCACCTCTTCAAAGGCTGGCTTTCCACAAGGATGCACCCCTCTCTTCCCTATAGCAACCCCAGCTGGACTCAGATCTTGTATTTCCCTCCTGTCCATAATACTCGAAACAAAACTCAGCCCTCCAGGCTTGATAATGGGACGGATCTGATACAGAGGTTGTCCAGGAAATCAGAAACAGCCCTTAGTGAACTTCTGATGCTTCCTGAAAGTTCTCAGGGGGTACTGAGTTCTGCTTCCTGGTTTGGAGTGAGAGTGGGGAAAGGCTTCTGCTTTGGGGACATTTGGTGCTTGGTCATAGGCCCCTGACCCCCCAGGAAATATGTTAGGGCTTGGGAGAGATTTTCAAATCTGGCCTCTTCTTGAGGAGGGGGTGAAGACTGCTAATATATGCTGCCTTGGACACTCGGCAAAGAACACTGGTGATTTCTGAGATCTGTTCCACATGGGTTCAAACAGAAAAGCCCGTGGGGCACTGTGGGCTGCCATGTGGCCATCAAGGCTCTGATCCTTCTGGAGGAAGTTTCCTTTTCCTAATCCTCTCTCTCCAGCAGGATCTAAATTGCTCCCCACAGATCCTCCCAGCACCCCCTCAAGACCACAATGCTTCCAAGCAGCACTCCTGCAGAAACAAACCTGAAAATATAGCCACAAGAGACCAAACCATAAATAACTTAAAACACTCAGACCATCCCATGTTGAGCAACACTCTTCCCAGAGCCCTAAAGGAGGAATTCCAGACACTAACCACACAGCCATGACAACCGACCATGTGGCTGACCTCGGTCCACTGTCTTCTCAGGGGAGGGGCTATCCTGATGTGACTTCTCCCCGAAGAGCACTCTATACTTCCATTTGGGCCCGGCCCCACAGAGGCCTGGCTGGAAACGACAGGACTCCTGAGCTGCCTTTTGTCTCCAGGGACCACAAATGCTCCTGCCAGTCAGGCCTGAAGCAGCTTTCAAACATGGACATACTCCTGGGGAGTCAACCGAGCTGGGACGGGGCCTTCAGGCTGCCATCACACGGGGATCAAACACGCCAATTTAAAACATGCTGCCTACTAGAAGCAAGGACAGGAGCGAAGTAGCCATGAGAATCTAAGGTGGGCAGAGGCCATGCACTTAGCAGTTCTGTACCCATCATCCAGCCTCAGACTTACATGGGGAATAGGGTCATGGTTCATGACCATATACCACTCCCCCATCCTCCTGCATGCTGCAAGCTAATTCACTTGTCCTGTCCGACTCTTTGCAACCCATGGACTTTCACTTGCCAGGCCCCTTTGTCCATGGGATTCTCCAGGCAAGAATACTGGAGTGGGTTGTCATGCCCTCCTCCAGGGGAATCTTCCAGACCAAGGGATCCAACCAAAATCTCTTATATCTCCTGCATTGGCGGTGGTGGCAGTTTAGTTGCTAAGTCGTGTCTGACTCTTACGACCCTGTGGACTGTAGCCTGCCAGGCTCCTCTGTTCATGGGATTTTTCCAGGCAAGGATACTGGAGTGGATTGCCATTTCCTTCTCCAGGGGAATCTTCCCGACCCAGGAATCGAACCCAGGTCTCCTGCATTGCAGGCAGATTCTTTATGGACTGCGCTAAGAGGGAAGGCAGGTGGGTTCTTTACCACTAGTGCCACGTGGGAAGTCCCTCCCTCATCCTCCAATAACTCTGAAAAGCTGTTTTTCTGTATGTATATGTGCATGTATTTCTGTTTTTCTGTGTGTGGGGTGTGAATGTAGGTATGTGTCTTTATATGTACATTTTGTAGCTCTATATAGAGCTGATTTCACCTCTCCCCAGTGACCCACTCAGATGCTGCACTGGATTATGAAGAAATTCAGAAACTGAAAGGTTCACACTGAGTAAAGCAGGGGGTCTGACTGTGATTAGTTCGTGCCGGACCCCTTCCAGTTGTTAAATATTTGTAGACCCTTGCCCACTAGGTCTACAGGCCAACTATGTGTGTTTCATGTATGTTTCTGTGTGTGTGTGTGTGCGTGTGTGTGTGTGAGAGAGACAGAGAAAGAGGGAGAGAGAGGGAGAGGAGAGAAAGAATTGTGAACAGGCCCGGGCCTGCCTGGGTCTGCTCAGGAGACGACAGTCCCTTAGGTCTGGGTTTGACAGCCCTCAAAAAGGCCGGCCACCGTCCTGTTCTCAGCGGGAAGCCCCGGGCCCACAGCTGCAGGGGAAGCGAGCTGGCTGGGGGCCTACTTCTACAGCGCAGGCGCGGCTCACGCCCGGTGCGTCTTCCAGCCCACGCCCTGCGGCGATGCCGCAGACTCCCCGCGGGCCTGGGTGAGGCAGGCAGAGCGGGACTTTCAGCAGCAGGGGTGCTGGCACCCCAGGCCCCCTACGTAACCCAGAAGGTGCCGCGCTCCTCCAGCAGGCTGACGGAGCGGTTGGAAAGCGAGGCGGCATCCTGCACCGGCTTGTAGCCGAAGAGGCGCATGGCCGGGCCGCAGGCGGCCTGCACCACCTGAGCCAGCTTGAAGGGCATGCTGAAGCGCCATTTCTCAAACTGTTCCGAGGAGTTCTTCTGCGTGGAGTAGATGCCGTCGTGCGCTGCCTGGGTGTTCTTCTGGATCCAGTCCTCCACCTGCGGGGTTAGGGGGATGCCTGCAAAGCGATACATCTCCTGGGCCTTCTGCAGCGGCCGGAGGGCCACGTCCTCGTAGCGCACCAGCATGTAGCGACCCCGCAGCCAAGCCGGCTGTCTCAGGCCCAACTCGGCGGATAGGCGGATGCTCTCACAGTTGCCCTTTAGCCGCAGCACCTCCTCCTCCCTCAGCTGGTCCTGCCCCTTGGCCAGCCACTTCTTCCAGGTCTCGTACTTGTCCGCGAAGGCCACCATGCGGGAGGCCAGCACAGCGCGGGGGTCGCGCACCAGCTGGATGACGCGCAGGTCGAGACGGGGGTCCTCGGCCAGCGGCTGCAGGAACTCCAGTTGCCTGATGCGGACTGCCTTGATGGCCATGTGCTCCTTGCGGCGGCAGGCTTCAGCGGCCAGCGTCATGTTGAGAGGGCCACAGCGGCGGTTCTTGCAGGGATACTTCTCGAAGACCTTCTTGACGAGGGGTGTGCAGACGGGGTCCTCGCAGAGGGAGCGGCTGGAGCCCCGGCGGAACACGAACTGGGTCAGGTGGTCCTCGGGCGCCGGGATGATGAAGTGCTCCAGGATGTAGAGGTCGCACAGGAAGAGCTGCTTGAGCACGTCGCGGTAGACCAGGGCCGAGCCCGCGGCGTTGGCACCACCCTGCTCAAAGGACACCGTGCGCTCGATGTGCCACAGCGGCTCGAAGAGGTAGAAGATATTGCCCTGCTGATTGAAGAACTCTCCCACAAACGAGGAACCCGTGCGAGTTGTGGCCATGAGGAGCACGTGGCGCCGGGGCGGGGCCTCGGCGGGTGGGCGGGGTTCCAGCTGCTCCCACTCCTCTTCCGCCTCCAGCATCTGCTCCTCCTCGGCCTCCTCTGCTGGCTCCATGCCCAGCTGCAGACTGAGGTTTCGCAGGCGCCTCTGCAGCTGCAGGAAGGCCGAATCCAGCTCACTCAGGGACAGGAGGGATGCGTTCTCGGCCAAGACCAGGGCTGGGTCGGTGCTATTGGCATCTACCAGGGATTGGGGGATCTGCTTCAGCTTGTCTGAGACCCTGTGAGAGCAAAGGGATACCATGATCAGTGACTGACTGGGGACTCTATCCCCTGTGCACCTAAGGAGCGTCCCAGGATGACCACCCAGAAGCTGACTTTGAGGCAGGGGTTTGAGTGTAAGTAGTTTATTTGAGTGTAAGTAGACCCATGATCACAGGGGGAATGGGTAGGGACTTGAGACGAGGAGGAAAGTCACTGTGGCCCAAATTTCTCTGCCAGGGGAACCCCAGGAAGGAGTGTAGACAGAACACACCTCAGGATTCCCTCATCCAGGGGATGTGAAACTCCCAGGTGGCCTTGGCTGAGGGATTCTCCCAGAGGTATGTACTCCTCAGGACTTCTGGCTTGCCAGTGTGCAGGTGGAGAGTTGCAGGGGCTTGCAGCAGGACCCAGTAGGCACAGACTGGAATAGTCCATGCTGAGGAACCCAGGTAGGGCACCAGCATAATGCCTACTATACAGCTGAATTCCTAATCTGCCCATCTTGGTTGATGCTTTTGTGCAAGGGTTGTGCCTGGGAGAGGTCTATAAATCTTTCTATGTATAGCAGGCTCACTAACAAGGCCACTGCACACAGTGGTACACTGCCAACTCTATGCATCCTCCGTGTAGCCTATCAGAGTGCACACCCCTGGAGTTGAGCAGTACACAACCTGGGCAGCTGAACATGGCAGCCCTGGTGACCAGAGTATCTGTCCCAGAACCCTGCCTCACAGTCATCCATGACTTTATTTGGTTATGCCAGGTCTTAGCTGAGGCATGTAGATCTTTAGTTGCAGCATGATGGATCTCGTTCCCTGATTAGGAGTGGAACCCCAGAGCCCCTGCACTGGGAGTACAGAGTCTTAATCACTGGACCACCCAGGAAATCCCTCATCCATGACTTTGGAAATATAGGAATATTGGAAGTATAGGAAATATGCTGTTCGTGTGAGGTATCATCCTAGGCCAGGAAGTTAACTAACAGTAATAGCAACGGCCAGTAAGCACAGGATACCAACTATGTGTTAGACACTGGGCTAAATGCTTTTACATTTTCTTACTTAATCTTTACAACAAAGCCGGCCCCATCGTTAGCCACATTTTTGAAGAGGAACTTAAGGCAGAAAAGTGAAATAATTTATCTAAGCTGTCACAACTAGAAAGGGCTAGAATCATGGGAATTCCCTGGTGATCCAGCAGTTAGGACTCCATGCTTCCACTGCAGGGGGCATGCGTTCCATCCCTGGTCAGGGAACTAAGATCCTGAAAGCTGCATGCTGTGGCCAAAAAAAAAGGGGGGGGGGCCAGAATCAGGATTCCAACTGAGGATGCCTGAGTCCAGAGCCGAAGCCTCACTGCTGTGCGGTCATGAGGACATGGCATGACCTGCCTGGGCACAGGACGGGCTTGGTGATGACTGGCTGAAGGACTGCCTTTGTTGGTCCACAGAGAGAGCCTAACAGCCACTTCTCTGCTCCCCACCCCCCCATCCCACCTGGATAAGGAAGACTTGTGCTTGCATCCCTCACCTTGATATGATTTTATTTTCCTTTTCAATGAAGACAAAAACCACCACCACAAAAGCCAGGAAAAGGGCATATTTGCTCCTCATTCTCAGGCTGTGCAGAAAATGTCGGCAGTCCTGGGGCAAAGAGAGTCCTTTCTCCATGGGGAAGGGTGGGGCCGTGGGCACTCAGCTCAGGGGCATCACTCAGGACCTGGCTCGTCGTTCAGGTGGGGGACACCTGGTCCTGTGGAGAGATGGACAGTCAGGACACCCTTGTCTATGGTTGAGAACAAATAGGAGCTTTTCCACCAGATTTTTGGGGACCCCAGCCCTGTTTAGAAGTCAGAACTCCAGACCCACTCTCCCAATGGACTGTGCCTCGGAAACTTGAAATCAGGTCATTTAAAGTATTAACGAACCTTCTGATTCATCCATGTCACTTCCATCAATTTATGCTTTGACCTCAAGAGTCAAGGGCAAAAGTACGAAAAGAATACTCCTTGCAGTATATGTGTTTGCAATAGCAAAAAGAGTACAAACATCTAAATAAAAAAATGATGAAGCAAACAATGGATTATTATGCAGCCACAAAGAATGAGGTGGATCTACTAATGCTGATATGAATAATCCACTATATATAGTTATATATAATGTGTAGATGTTATAGATAAGCAAGCTGCAGACATGGTCTGCATATAGGATAGGGTTTCTTAGCACTACTGACATTTTTCGAAATTAGCTTTTATTGGGGTACAGTTGACTTACAATGTTAATTTCTGCTGTACAGCAAAGTGAATCAGTTATACATATATCCACTTTTTAAAAAAGATTCTTCTTACATATAATCTCCTTATTATCTGTTTTATAGATAGTAGTGTGTATATGTTAATCCCAATCTCCGAATTTATCCCTCCCCCTCTTTCACCCTTGGTAACGAAAAGTTTGTTTTCTCCATCTGTGACTCTGTTTTGTAAGTTCATTTGTACCATTTTTTTAGGTTGCACATATAAGCTGTATCAGATGAAATTTGTCATTCTCTCTGACCTCACTCAGTATGATAATCTCCAGGTCCATCCATGTTGCTGCCAATGGCATTATTTTGTTCTTTTTTACGTCAGCACTGTTGACATTTTGGATCAGATAATTCTTTGTTGTGGGGGCTGTCCTATACATTGTAGGATGTTTAGCAGCATCCCTGGCCTCTACGCGTTAGATACCAGTAGAGTCTCCTCTGCTCAGCTGTGACAATCAGAAATGTCTCCAGACATTGACAGATGTCCTCTGGGTGGAGGGGTGGGGGGTGGGGAGGGATAGGGTGGTGCAAAATCATTCCAGGTTGAGAACCTCTGATGCAGTTTTAAAAAAAATTAAGGGAGAGAAAAATATAAATGCTAGATACAAGTGGACTGTGACAACCGGGAGACACAAGGCCAGTAACAAAGGAATGGGTAGGTCAGGAGAGAAGGGTGAGGTGACTCTTAACATTTACTGTGTAACATTGTGCACTATTAGAAATTTTACCATGTGGATGTATAAATGTTTTAAAATTAACTAAAGGTTTTCCACCATACCATGTGAATTCTAGCAAAATCCTTCATATGGCCTCAGCCTTCAGGTCTCAGCTTCGTGGGGCAGCTTCTTCTTGGATAGGTTAGGGCCCCCTTGGCCCCACCACATTATGACCTGAGACTCTGTCATAAAGCACACCCACTTGAAATGACTTGTTCAGTGCTGACCATCCCTTTGTGGAGGGCGGGCAGTGCATCTGGGCCCCTCATTATCCCTTAGCACTGGGCCAGGCACACAGGAGACATGCATGGCTGCTAAATGACAGAATGGTTAAAGGAATAAATGATTCTTAACTGAAACTGTATATATTTTTAAAAACCAGAGCAAATACACCATTGCCCAGTGAAGCCTGAATCACCATTGCTTTCATTTATCCTCACCATCAAACACATACCTGTACCCCAAGCCCCCAGATTCCAGCACAGCCCCCTCTTCCAAAAGTCTCTCCATTTCTTCACAAGGACCCTCATCCATGGGAGACATTCAGCTACAAGTTTAGAAAAGTGTTATTGTGACCTTGTGCAGGGCATCTGGGAGCATCCTTCTTTCTGGGAAAGATGAATTTTTTCCAAGCTGATATTGATGCTGAGGAGTGGGAGGGCTGAAAGGACGGTCCCCAGGCTGCACCTTCATCATACAATGGAAGTGATTTTAGGGACAACCAGAAAATCTACCCTCTGGGGAAAGCATCGAGACTGGGGTTCTGCTTATGAGAAGACAGATGTGTGCCCTGGCAGCCAGAGTGGAGGGCCTCAGCTGAGCAGGGCAGGGTGGTGGGGGGGCAGTGGGCAAGGCCAGGGTGCTTTGTGAGTATAGGTAGGTGGACATGAGCCAGGAGGGAAGAGGGCTGCAAGGCCAGTTCAAGGGTAACTGAATATTCTTGCCTCTTCTTAATTCTTCTGGGCCATTTCCCATGCACTTATTAAACAAATATCTCCTGAGCACCTACTATGTGCCAGTCTAGGCACAGTATCGCACAGCAGGGAACAAGCAGACCCCACCCATGCCCTCATGGGACTTACACTCTGGTTGAAAGAGCCAACTAGAAGGATATGAGTTGATGAAATTTGTTGAAATTTATAAAGTTACTACTCTGTGCCTAGTAGCATGCCAAGGACTTGATTTGTAGTTCCTCATCCCACAAAAGCCCTGTTAGGTAGTGACCCATTTTACAGATGAGGAAACAGGTTGAGAGAGATTAAATATAATTTGCCCAAGTTTCCTCTAGCAATAGCCTGATTGCCCCTCCCAAGTCTAAGTCATTCCAGCCTCTTGATGTTCCACAGTGACACCCCCTGCTCCACAGCACGTGTGATTGGACTTTACAGTTGACGGTGTGTCTGTCTCTCATTCCTAGACTACAGGTTCTCTGAAGTCCAGACCAGTATCTAGAACAGCACCTGCCATCTACCCACTGCCCAGCAAGTTACTGGTAAGTCAGCTCATTGAAGCTGCTGACTGGCAGGCAGTCAGCATGTGTTTGCAGAATGCTGGGCAGGGCTGTGTTCCTCACTCACCCAGTTTAGCCTGTGGCGGGGTGTGAGGCCACCTGTCCTGCTAGGAGGGTGAGACCCGATACTGAATCTGCAGAGCACAAAGGCTTGGAATATTGGCTTTCTTCCCTCTAGGCTATCAGCGGAAAGGGCCCGGATCTGATCATGTGAGGGAAGCAAAGGAGCTAGGACCAAGAAGTCCTGGGTTCTTGTTCTTCCTGCTTGTCTAACATGCTGTGTGGCATTGCATAAGTGACTTAACCTCTCTGGGCCTCAGTTTCTTTACTAGTAGCATGAAAAGGGTGGTTCCTGCTGTATAATGTTGCTCTGAGGAGCAGTGTCTGGTGCGTGGAGATGGAGAGAAGGCAGGCGTGGGGCGCAGGGACTTGTGCTGGTTGTCCTCTCTTCTGGGTCTAACATCTTTGGTACAATTTACAAAGTTGACTGTGTTGATGACAAAGATCCTGAACCTTCTCCTCCCTTCCCTTCCAGGAAGTGTTTCTATTTTTGACTTGCTATCCCAGCCCCCTTAGCCCCTGAATAATACAGAGTTCCTGAGAACCTTGCTGACATTGCCCTAAAAGGAAGACACAAGGGTGAAAACTCCCTCCAAATGAAATCCCAGACAGGCTGTTGGCTCCTCAGCCCTGGTCCAGGCAGGCTGCCCCTAGGGTTAGCTTTGGAAGGCCAGCAGGCAAATGGGCAGTCAGGGGAGGGTAGTTTAGAGATTCCCCAGACCCAGGAGGTGGCAGAGGGTCACAGATGCCAGGAGGTCACAGGATCATGGGGAATGGCCGAGATGGGGGTCATGCAAGTAGAATGTGGCCTGCAGGAGGCCCTTTGCAAGAAGTGTGCCTGTGCTATCTGTGACACTGGACAAACCCTCCCTAGAGCTGTGGTGCCCGCCTTGCTTAGCTCATGGGAAGAATGAAAAATCTCTTCCTTTTCTTGGCAGCTGCCATCTCCGGGGGAGTACTCAATACCTTTCTTCCCCGCAACACCCAGCAGTAACACAATAGCCAAAGGAAAAGGTGGTATCCCCCTGCTGGGATATCAGCAGAGGTCACGTTGCCAGGGCAGCAGGGCCAGTGGTGACGAAGGCCAGGGCCACACGCCGGCTCAGCCTTGCCCGAATGCAGGGGAGCGGGGCAGCTGTCCTGAGCCCAGTTAAACTCAGGACTCAGCCTAGATGTCCCCTCCCCTGGAGTCCTTCCCTGACCACTGGCCTAATGCGGGCTGTCTCCCTTCTCCCTATGCCTTTTAGCACCTTGCTTTACGTCCTTCCTGGATGGAAATGTACTTGGGTACCACCTGTTTCAGCCACTGGCGTGTAAGCTCCCTCTTTGTATCCCCACTGCCCTGCTTCGTGTGTACCAGGCACAGTGGGTGCCTCTTGCTTGTAGAAGGAATCGATGAATGCTTTTTCTAAAGCATTTGGCCCACTGTGAGATGTTCAATCATTCTGAGTTGGTGGAAAATACAAAGAGAAAGAAGAAAAAGCCATTGTTCCCTGTCCGAGTGAAGCATGCCTGCATGCTGTGACCTGTGCTGCAGGCACGCGGTGAGTACTGTTGATGTCTAGCCACTCAGTCGTGTCCTACTGACGGTAGACTGCCAGGCTCCCCTTTGCAGGGGGTTTCCCAGGCAAGGGCACTGGAGTGGGCTGTGCACAGAATATATGCCCCCAAACAGGGACTGAGTGGCTATTACATGTGTATGCCATGGGAGTGTGCTACGAGTGTGTACTGTGGGCAAGCCTTTGTGCTTGGGGCTTCCCGTGTATTAGTCTCGAGCTGTCATGACAATCTGGGATACCTTTTGAGGATAAAGAACCTCGGCCTGTGGCTTTCAGTTCCAAGTCTCCCCAGCTACGTGGTAACAGGGGAGGGGTGGGGGCGGGGAGGGCAGAGAACAGCAGAGGCAGCCCAGGCAACCTCAGTGAGGGAGCCCTGGAAGGAAAGCAGGCGGTGACCTGAGGCCCTCCACTCCAGGCACTGGCTTCCCTACCCTGCTCCCCTCGGGGGCCTTCCTGCTCAGGCCTCCCTCGTGACCTGGCAAAGGGCCCTCTCGAGGGAACAGTTTTGTACTTGGATGGCTGCCTCCCGTGGAGGAGGTGGGGTCCCAGACTCTGCTGTGAATGGTGCTCTGATAAGGGATGGGCCCTGCCAGACATTGCATCAGGCAGCAAAGCTCCACTCCCTTCACTTGGCTCGCTCCAGGCCAAGAGCACAGTGGGGATCAGGGCCTCCGCTGTGGCAGGCGCCGCTCACAGCCTTTCCACCGGCAGCAGGAGGAGCTGCCTGGGGCGAGGAAGGCCGGGGGCTGAGATGGAGGAGGCTCCTGGGCAGAGACAGGAGCAGTGAAGCCCATTGTGGGGAAACTCTGAACCTACTCATGAGCTACAGCCCTGGGGGCCAGGAGGTACCCTGACCATGCCAGGTCCCCAGACACCTAGGAGGGGAGACCTTGGGAGGGTTTCCATGAGTGGTCTCTAGATTCCCTTTGAGTGGAGGCAGGGGGCAGGATCAGGAGAAGGAGCACGCATGCTCAGAGGAGATCTCAGCTTGGAGGATGCAGGAGTCCATCCAGTGGCCTGTCCCAGAAGAGGTTCTGTTTCATGTAGGGATGTCCAGAGATGGCCTGGGCTGTCCAGCTTAGTGTCTGACAGGAGAGTAAATGCCCAAGTGCCAATACGTGAACCAGGGATGGAAGGAAGAAGAGAAGGCATGAGAGAACGAGGAAGTAGATGGGGTCCTGGCTGAGGGATGCGCCCTTGCACAGCCCGGGGCTATCATTCCTCCTCAAACCTCTCATGTTCTGGGACTCCAGCTTCCTCTCCTAAAAACAAACCATCTAAAACTTCTGTATGGGCACATGTCCAGCCTCAGCCAAGACAGAGCCAGAGTAGACGCTCCCAAGTTGGAGGTGTGTATCATCTGAGTAGCAGTGGACATCTAAGAGCTTATGAGAAGCTGCGGGCCAGAGCCATGGGATGGACCAGAGAGCTGAGGGCCAGCGTGGTGGGGGGTGGGGGTTGCCACAGACTCTCAGGGAGCCATCTCTGGCAGGGACAGACCCCCGTGGCCCCTCAGCCCTGTTTTCCTGTGTGAGGATGTGGGGGAGGGTGCTCTCTACCCTCGTTTGACACGGTCACTTCATCAGGGCCTGCTCAGCTGTGTGAGAAACACATTTTGTGTGAAACGCTGACAGCTGCATGGATACAGGGCCCCAGAGAATAGTCCCCACCCCTCATCAGCAAAGGTGCTTCCCATGCCTCTCACGCTGGGCCCTGGGCCAGGTCAGTGCCGAACCACTGCTCTGGGCTTTCTCGCCCTTGCCCAGTCAGGGGCTGCATCAGAGGCTGGTGTCCAGGATGCCCACAGCTGTGCAGCCGGGAAGCCAGGTGAAGAGTCAGTTGGTTTGTCTGGAACTGACCTCGACGTGAGCCAAGACTCATGGCCAAGAATGTGCACCCAGCCTTGAGAGTCCAGCACGTGAGAAGCGCCTTGAGTGTCTCAACAGATGGGGCTGGCTGAGACAGTGCACTGGCCCAGTGAAAGCAAGCCATGCAGGGGTTAAAAACGCTGATGCACAGCTGCAGAGATGGAATATTGAGTAATGATTCTTTTCATTTTCTACCTTTTTGTATTTGACTTTTGGACAACCATACATATACCACTTAAAAAATTTAAAAATCTAATCTGGAGCTTAAAAAGAGAAATGTAAAATTACTTTGGAAATGGTGTGGGAAATGCACTGGAAGAAGGAAGGACTGGAGGCTGGGAGACCAGGCTGTCCCTTTTGTGCTGGTCCAGGAAAGAGGAGGTGGTCTGAGCAAGTGGGGAGAGTGTGGAGGAGAGGAGGGACAGACACATGGGACCTTAAGGAAGTCAGTGTGGTGCCTGTGGCATGCACAGCGTACATGAGCCTTAAGGACAGTGTGCTTATGAGGAGAAATAAGCCAGCCACGAAAGGACACATCTCATTTGATTCTAGTGGTAAAGAACCCACCTGCCAATGAAGGAGATGTAAGAGACGCAGGTTTGATCTCCGGATTGGGAAGATCCCCTGGAGAAGAGCATGGCAACCCACTGCAGTATTTATGCCTAATCTCATGCACAGAGGAGCCTGGCAGGCTATCGTCCATAGGGTCACAAAGAGTCAGACACGACTGAAGCAACTTTAGCACTCACGCATGCACTTGAGGCACCTAGAGGAGCCAAATCAGAGAGACAGAAGGTATAAAGGTCGTTGCCTGACCCTGGGAGTTAGTATTCAATGAGGACGCAGTGTCAGTTTGGGAAAATGAAAAAGTTCTGGAGATAGATTGTGGTGAAGGCTGCACAACAACGTGAATACACTTAATGCCATAGAAATCATACATTTTATGGTATGTCTGTTTTCCATAGGGGGAAAAAACTGAATTCATAAACAACAGCCAGGGGAAGGAGGGCAATAGAGGACTCCAGGAGGATCCCTTGTTCATTCCTTGGACAGCAGTCCTGTATTTTGCTGTGCCCGCTGGCATGTGGCAGGGCACAATTAATGTTCGTGAGGTGAATGAATGGATTCGTAACTGTCTGTAAGAGTTGGCTGTGGTTTCTTGTAGTTTTTCTTCCCTCATGCTAGTGGAATATTGGACACATAGGAGATGATTAATATGCTATTGATTTTATACACACACACACACACACACACACAGCTTCCCAGGTGGCGTTAGTGATAAAGAACCTACGTGTCAATGCAGGAGATGTGAGACTCAGGTTCGATTGCTGGGTTGGGAAGATCCCCTGGAGGAGGGCATGGCAACCCACTCCAATATTCTTGCCTGTAGAATCCCATGGACAGAGTAGCCTGGTGGGCTACAGTCCATAGGGTCGCACAGAGTTGGACATGACTGAAGCAACTTAGCATGTGTGCACACACACACACACACACACATAGAAAGAGAGAGACACAGACAGACAAGACAGTCTGGAAAAGCCTGAACAAATCATACACGGACTCTCTCCACAACTGTGGCTTCTTTTGACATCTCTGCTTTTACATGTTGACCTTGATGCCCTGTGACCTTAGGAAAGGAACTTAAACTCGAATGGTTTCATTATTTGTCAATGGGACACTTATAGCATCTATTGTACACTTAGTGGTCATGAGGAGTCCAATGAGAAGATGCTAGTGCAGTGCCTAACCCAAGCCCAAGTCACGATAAATGGTCCTACTTAGGAACCACTCACCCTGTCTTTACAGATGCAGCAGATTCTGTGGCTTGTGATTGGTGGCGAGTACTGGATGGGTTGCAGTGGGGTGGGGTCTCAGTCCCCTACAAATACCAGGGTGAAGGAAAGTGATGACCTGACCACAGCTGGAAGTGTCCCTCTGGCAGAGCCAATATCCGCTCATTTATGGACAGCATTTGGCCCTGGGCATCTTATCCTCACTGCCAGTCTCATCTGGGGATAAACGTGCTGACTCTCCCTGTCCCAGGTACTGTGGTCAGCCCCGAGGCAGCAGAGAGGTGGGGAGAGACCCAGAAAGACAGCGGGCAGAACCCTGAAGGATGCTCCCTCCCCAGCTTCCCTGTAGGTCAGCGCTGCTCACAAATTCCACACAGCCGCCTGGCCAGGAAGCCAGGAAGCTCTGAGTGTGCTGATGAGAGTGTGGCTCAGGGGTCCCTGGGACCCCCGTGGAGGAGCCGGCTCCACTCTGGCTGCAGTGAGCAGAGGCGGCAGGCCTCAGAGCCGTCAGGCTGGGGTCAAGTTGAATGCCAGTGGATCCTGCCCCCAGAACAATTCATGCTGTCGGCAGCGGCTCAGGCCAGAGCCTTATACAAAGCAGCTTGACTTTGCAGCTCTCGTTTTACTTGCCTTCAGCCGTGCAAGTCTGAGAGGGTAATTCTTTTGGAACGGTCCAAGGGAAATCTGTCCTGTACACTACCCCACCAATCAAGAGAAACATGGCTCTTGCCCTAAAAGTGCAGAATGTCAGAACTGGAAAGGGCTTGGAGATTTTCTTATCTACCCTTCCTCATTTTTCATCTGTAGCCATTCAGGCTACAGAAGGCATAACTGGATACTGATGATACTTGAACCACTACAAAGTCTCCTGTCTCCCAGGTTAGTGATGGCCCTGCCCAACTTTATCACCCTGACTCTCACAGCTTAGTCCGTCAAGAACCTCCAGCACACGGTTGTCAAATAAACAGTGCACATTCCATTCAGCAGTCCTATGCCTGGGGCAGAGGCAGACATCACTGATCAATCACTGTCTTCAGCTGAAACTAGATGCAGCCTCATACACCTTCTCAGTGCAGTGCCAATCCATTAGAGCTGGCATGTGAGATAAAATCAGCTTGCCTTTCCAGCTTTATTGGATCTTTCCTGGCTACCAAACACAGTTCCTCATCACCCTTTGGTTTGCCATTCTGCCATCTGGCATCACTCCCCCTAATGCCAGCCAAATTGCAAGTCTCCTCCATCTAAACATGCCTTGTAGATCTTTCCTCCAAACCTTTGATTTAGCACATAAAACCCTTTCGGGCTTCCCTGGTGGCTCAGTGGTAAAGAATCCACCCACTAATGCAGGAGACGCAGGTTAGATCCCTGGGTTGGGAAGATCCCCTGGAGAAGGAAGTGGCAACCCACTGCAATATTCTTGCCTGGGAAATCCAATGGACAGAGGAGCCTGGTGGGCAACAGT